AATTTTGTCACAAGCATCTCTCTATGACAATTAAGAGTCTCCAGGCATCTGTAAGTACAGGAGAATGCTGCCCAGCTGAGCCCATTGACTAACCCTTTGGTGGCATGAGTGCAGTGGCTTCTGTCTGCACTTGTCCTCACATTAGATGCTCAGGGCTTAGTAAGAGTGCAGTCAAGGTATGGGGAAACTGCACCAGCCCGGCTCCTGTCTCTGCCAGCCCCAAGCAGAGGTGTGTTCTTCTGGTAACTCCATTCTGGAGATCACACCCTCTCCTTAGTCACTATGTCACAGATAAGACTCCCATTGTCACTCTCAGTTTTTATTTAGTTGCTCATGGCCTGTAATTTCTTTCATGGCATTTTTTATACCTACAAAATCCTTCCTCATTATGAAACAGACATCAAATAGTCATTTATATTTTTTTATTTTTTATTGTGATAGAATGTATACAAACTTATCCTTAAATTGGTGTCTCCTTGGGCTCATGGGAGCCTAGAGTTCCCACTGGTGAGGGCAGCTGTGAGTGTGGTCTGTGCCATTGGACAGTCACATCTCTGCTACCTGCACACGCCTCCTGCTGGCCTCAATCTTCCCCATCTGTATTATGGGAGCAGTCACACCTGGCTAGGAGGGTGGCTCTGGTTGAAAGCCCATGACAAAAGCTTCTAGATAGGGCTTCAGTACTGCTTATGGAGGTGAAGTGACACAGTCACTTCTGTTGATGACTGCTGTTTCTATTGGCTGATGACTACCTGGTCTTGTTTTCAGGGTTTAGAAAATGAATATCAAGAAGAAGGGCAGCCTTTGGGACAGTTCACATATGACCAAGAAGGGGAGTCACTGCAGATGTTTCATGCTCCGGTAAGGACTGGGGCCGCGTCCCCCCACCGTCTCTGTCACTGGGAACAGTCTTGTTGAGGGGCACATAAGGATCAGCTTTGGCAGGAAATCAACCTGTACCTCCCAGCTGTAGTGAGCTGTGTGCAGGTGCAGGTATTGGTGGTGACAGCAAGACAATCTGGCTGGTTGGTTCTGAGAGTCTCCCTGAATTTATGATTTAGAAAGTTCATACTGAGAATTCTAATTTCCAAAGGCTGTTTCCTGTCAGATAGCATACTAGGAGAAGTGATGGTGTCAGGGCTCTTAATCTGAAGTAAATGTGTTTTTTCCCATTTCAGGAAAGACCTGACAAAGCCTTCCAAATACTGGAACTCCGCATCCTCTCAAACTGGGGCCACCCTGAGTATACCTGCCTGTATCGGTTCAGAGTTCACGGAGAACCCGCAAAATAAAGGATTCCCTAGTTTTGTATATGCTTGTATATACCAGAACTGCCAGAAACACTGGATCCTTGGGGTGAGGGCATGCGTAGAACAGTAACATGTCAGCCCTACAATCAGCATATGCAGTGGCAAAGGACCTGCACGGTGAGTCCTCGCAAGCACTGCATGCCATGTGTGTGGTCCACAAAGAGCTCCGTGGTGGGTTCTCTGGAAACTCATTTGAATGTATGGTTCTCAAAGACACTCATTTTATTTGGGGGATTTGTTTTTTAATATAAGCCCTTTAAATTCTTGATATCAGGAGCAAAGCAGGGGGAGTTGACAAGTTTGTTGGACCTTTAGGAGTGCAGACACAGTCCATCTGTCAAACCCACACATGTTCTTTCAGGGAAAACCATCTCCTAGTTTTTGGATTCTGAAACTTACACCAGGTGGGTTCCATGTTTCAGCACCTAGGTTCCCCAGTTGCGTAGGGGCTGAGACGTGTCCTGTGCCTCCTTGGTGCTGAGCAAGACAGAGTGTTTTTCTGCTGAGGGTGGGAGCGTGACCTCAGCAGAGGCAATTTGGGTCCCAACCAACATCATAAATGGAAGAGCTCAGGAGGATGTTGCAGTTGAAATTCACAGCATGGACAGCAACTAAAAGATCTCACCTTCTGTTGTCCTTGGGCTGTGTTTTGAGTTCTGCTGAAGGGGCAACACTAAGGCCCCTGACCCTCCAGGGCATGTCACCATTGCTGTAGAGTCCAGTCTTTCCTATGGCAGCACTGTTTACTGGCTCTCAGTGGGGTTTGCCTTTTATCCAACTGTCAGCTATTCTCACTTGATTCTTGTGAGACTTCTTTTGGTTATAATTAATATTTAATACTACAGACTATTTTATGAGCAGACTTTATAATGGAGATATGTACAAGGCACTTCAAGTGTTAGATGTTTTACTTTAAGAATTATTTGCATTTTGTTGGTCAAGACAGCCTTGGCACACCATAAATGCTGTACTTTCAGAAAAAGCATGGCAGTGCTCACTGGTCTCTGGAGTTTTGTGTGGGCTGTACAGTCCTCAAGTACTTCAGCCACATGGATCTGTGCTTCTCCGAGAGTTGAACCAATGCCCATGCAGCTAGGTTGGGTGAAATGTGTACAGATGTTTCCTATATTATAGGTACATATATAAGTCAAATTTCCTATATAAAGCTAAATTTGGAAGTTGGGGTGGAGATATTTTGAATATTTATTTTTAAAGATGCAAGATAGGACTTTGTGCAATGTATTTTTGTAAATGCTTTTCAAAATATTTGTCTTTGGTAGTGTTTCTTTTGCTGCCACCAAATTGATAAGATGCTATTGAGATGTTTAAAGAGTTTAAATTTTTAAAAGTGCATGTGATATTTCAAATGAGTAATAAACAGTATATTTCCTTTCTCAGTTTGCTTTCTCTCTACCCATGAGGTGTGGGAAGGGACAACTAAGTCTGTGTGCTGAGAGTGAGAGCTCAGGTGCTGCAAGCACTGGCTGTGTCCTTCAAGGCCTTTAGTCTACAGGTTCTCAGGGCACCTCTTCCTGCTTAGGGGAGTCCAGCTGGAAAGCAGATACAGAGTAGATAAGAAGGTGCTTAGGCACTGGGGTATGGCTCTGGTGGCACAAATGCCTAGGCTGTCTGAGACCCTGGGTTCCATACTTAGCACCACAAAAAGAGATACTCAAGTGAGATCATTGGGAAAAGAGGGCTTGCTCTCCCCGAGAAGCGACCTGCCACTCAAGGTGCGTGCTGCAAGTGACCCTGGGGACTCATCTCTTGCTTTTACACAAGTGGCAGCATACTCACCACACTGTTTGCACCTTGCTTTCTTCCAGTTATCAAATATACTTTGGAGATTATGTACCAGTGAAGAATTTGTTTTAACAAGTTCTTTGAAACCTTTTGGTTTCATTGTATATATTGTATTGATTGTACTGTTCAATTTATGGATATCAGTTTCCATTTCCTTGCTATTATAAACAATAATACAGTAGCTTTGATTTTCACTTCCAATTACCCATGGCTAATTGAATGAGTAACTGGGGTTAAGCAATTCTGGTTCTTTTAAGGATCTATAGTAAGTAGTTCTAACATTGTACACACTGTCCTAAGGTAAGGACCCATTCCATTTAGTCCCATCCAGACCCAGTTGTCCCTTGTTCCATTTCCCCACACTGTGACTGCTTCTGGCTGATTGGTTACTGAGTGATTATCAGGAGTGTTGTCACATCACAGTGCTTGTGTTCAGGTGATCTTTAGGTAGTGGTGCCACATCACAACAAGCCTGTATCACGGCTCCTTGCTTTCACCTTGCTGGCACTGCATCATCCCATATCCCCACAAGAAGGGTGAGGACAGCACAAGCAGACACATGAAAGTGAGCCCACATTCATGTACCTAACTCCCAGTGCATTACTGTAATTGAGCTCTTTTGTTAGTAATCTTTTACTGTGCGTAATTTAAAAAAAAAATAGTTGTAAATGGACACAATGTATTTCCATGTATTTATTTTTTTATGTGGTGCTGAGGATCAAACCCAGTGCCTCACACATGTGAGGCAAGTGCTCTACCACTGAGCTACAGCCCCACCCATAGGAGAGTGAGAGTGTGTGTGTATGTGTGTGTGTGTAAAAACAGTTATTGTGCTGGGCGCAGTGGCACATGCCTGTAATCCCCGTGGCTGGGGAGGCTGATTGCAGGATTGTGAGTTCAAAGCTAGCCTCAGCAAAAGCAAGGTACTAAGCAACTCAGTGAGACCCTGTCTCTAAAGAAAATACAAAATAGGGTTTAGGCATGTGGGTCAGTTGTCAAGTGCCCCTGAGTTCAATCCCCTGTACCCACCTACCCCCTCAAAAGAAAGCACAGTTCTTGTATAGGGTTCTGCCTGCATTCCAGCACCCCCAAGTCTTGAGCCAGCCCCACAGTAAAAGGCTCATGTACAGCTAAAGGTCCGGCTGGACCCTTCACCACACAGCTTAACCCATGGCCAAGCCACCCTATCCCATCTGCCTCTGCTCTAATCCATAGCTAGGCCATCCTGTCTCAGCTGTCACCCACTGTAATGCCTGGCCAGGGCACCCTGTCTGGCTGTATCACCAGGAATCGCCAGTGCACCTCAGACAGACCCTTGCATCCCCTCTGGAGCAGGTGTGAAGGCTGTTCATCTTGGTCCCCGAATAATAGATTTCCTAGCAGGAAACCCAAGACAACCTCTTGAATATTCCAAAAAGGTTTTAAATCACTGTCAACATGTTTGAAACGCCCCCTGCCCAGGACCGATGAAGGGCGACTGCTTGGCTCCACCACGGGAAGCTGGGGTTGGACCTATCGCGCTGCAGAGGCCACCACTCGGCCAGTGACCGCCGCGGTTCGCGCGCATTGTGTAGTGAGCAGCGCCCCGCCCCGACACGTGGCCACCCTGGACACGTGGCAGAGGTTCTGGCCCCACCCCGCTTGCGTAGCACCGCCTGCGGTCACGTGGCCACGCGCAGCCCCGCCCAGGGCACACAGCACGAACCTAGGCCCCGCCTCACGATCACGTGGTTGCTTACAGCTCCACCCAGGACACGTAGCCCCGCCCTGCTCACGCGGCCGCCCGTAGGCTCCGCGGCCCCTCCTTAGTCACGTGTCGCCCGCAGCCGTCGATCCCCGCGGCTCCTCGCGGCCACCGTAGAGGGCGTCGGGCGGGCTCAGGGACGGAAGCCGAGAGGCGCCGCCGACCGCGCCTGCGACAGCGTCAGCCCTGCGCGGAACGCCGGCCCATGGCGGCGGCGGCAATGGCGGAGCAGGAGGGGGCCCGCAACGGCGCCCGAAACCGCGGCGGCGTCCAGCGCGTGGAGGGCAAGCTGCGCGCCAGCGTCGAGAAGGGCGACTACTACGAGGCGCACCAGATGTACCGGACCCTCTTCTTCAGGTGGGCGCGGGCGGCGGCTTGCCGCCGAGGCCCCGCCCCCGCCACCCATTGGCCGCCCCGCGGCGCCCCGCTCCTCGATTGGCCGGCTCAGCTGCCTGTCGCGACGGCTGGAGAGGGGGCGGCGGGCTCCGGGTTGCGCGGCGCGGCCTGCCCTATGCGGCCTCCTTTTCCCTTCCCTGGCCTTCGCTTCTCTTCTTCCCCTTCAGAGCCCTACGTTTTCCTTCCTGGGTTTCCCTGTTCGCTTCCCCCGTGTGGTTTACCCACTTCGGTCTCCGCCTTCCCCGGCTGTCTCCTTCCCTGTCTACTCTTTCCCTTCTCTGGCCTCCTTTCTCGGGTCTCCTCTTCCCTAGCCTCCTCATTCCCTTTCCCTGCCCTCTTCCCCAACCTCCCCCTGCCCCTTTTTCGGTCTCTCTTTCCTGGGCCCAGCCTCTCTTTCCTGGCCTCCCCTTCAGAGTCTCCTTTTCCCTCCTTCCCATACCCATTCCGTCCTCATTTTCCCCAGTCTCCTTCCCTTCCCAGCTTTCTCCTCCCCTTCCCCCAGCCTCTAGCCTGGCCCTGCACCCTGTCCTTGTCACCCTGTTCCTTTTCATAGATAGGTTCTGTCCTAGAGCTGTTTTTCTAGAGCGGGCCTCTCAGGCAGCCTTCTCTGCGGGCAATCACGGCCAGGATTGCCTCACAGAGAACAGAGGCCCTGGTGACCCGACGTGTGGTTAGGCCGGTGCTGTTGAGACAGTAACCATTTCCTGTTTTGGGGACTCCCAGTTGTACAGTCCTCTGCGATTGGACTGGTCATTAGGCCTGGGCATGTTTGTTGATAGCCTTGGCCTGAGCCTGCCATGTGCTGTGGCTTTATTCCTAACTTCAGGGCAGGACTGCCCTGTCCAGTAGTGAAGGCTGTGGGTCTAGCCTTGACACTTCTTAGGCCTGCAATTTTCTTTTAATAGACTTTGCATCTTAGAGCAGTTTTAGATTCATAGCAAAATTGAGCAGAAAGTGGTTTCTACTGCCCACCCCGCAGGCCAGAGCTGCCACAGTGGGGTGTTTTAGAGTTACCCCTCCTGTTCTGTGGGCTGAACAAAGGTGCTGGGACAATGGTTCCTCAGCCTAGTGCCTTCTTTTGGTCCTGGGATCATCTTAAGGGCTCTCTGGGACCTTTGTCTTACATTTGGGTGCACTCAGTTTTGAACCACCCAGCAACTGGGTGGACACAGTGGGAGAAGACAAGATCCAGGCCAAGTGTGGGAGTACTCCGCCCTGAGCCTTGCCCTGTGCCCCAGGATAGAGCCCTGCCTCTGTGTCTGCCCACCAGCTTGCAGTCTGGGAGAGGCCCTGGCACCTTGTTTTCAAAGATTTGTTTCTATCCTGTGTTGCCAGGATCAGAGGCCTTGAGTTTAGTTGATGACTCTAGGCTTAGGGAGAAATATTGGCCTCTCCTCTATGATCTTGAATAGCCTGAAGGACAATCTTGTTCTGGAATTTTCTGGGTATTAAACCCTGACACGCTATAAATACAGACCAGTCAGGTTGCATCTAGTTTTGTAATTATGAATGCCTTGCTTTTTGAACTCTGTTGTTTGCTTTAGGAAGAGACTTGTTCTTCCCTTTAGTTTTACCATGGTAAATTCTACCAAAATGAGACCTGCACGTTTGGTAGTCACAGGGGCAAGTTTAACAAAGTTGAGCTGTCACTAACTACATTTCCAAAAGCTCTGAGTTGTCACAGCCCCTTTAATCTGACTGTTGAAGGATCGGCCAAAAGCAGCAGGTGCTAGCATTGACTGGGGCCTTCTACCCTGATGGTCAGTTCCAGCCACACATCTGTGCACACTCATAGCACTTAGGATTCACCCTGACCTTTGGTTTTTGGGGGAATTTGTGTATGAATATTTGCCCAGTGACTAATAAGTAAAAATGGGCCCATTTAAAGACCCATAAAAATGGGTCTTCTCAAAAATAGGCACTGCGTTCCTTTGTTCTGAACCAGCCCTGCCTTTCCTTTGTTCTGAACCAGCCCTGCCGTGACTAGAGATTTGCTTAACTTAGTATTTATTCGATGAGCCCCTTGGTCCAGGGTGTGTCTAGGTGACAAGATGGTGACAGGTGAGCTCTGCGACCTTGCTGCCTCTGGGCTGCTCCTTCTGGGGCCAACCTGCTAGGAATGGTGAGGCAGTGCAGTGAGTGCCAAGCCCAGGGCCACCCTTCCTCTGGGGCCCAGGGAGTGTTACAGAGCCTCCCTGAGCCTTGGCCTCCCTGGGTCACTCCATTAACCCCACCCAGGAGGCCCAGGCTGGGAAGACTATGGGTATTTGGCTGTGGGAGAAGTCAGAATCCCCAAATCATGGGCTGGGGTTGTGGCTCAGTGGTAGAGTGCTTGTCCCTTTACAACTGGAAAAAAAAGAATCACAAAATTATGTTAGTTTTTCAATGTCTAGTAAATGTCTGCATATTTACATTTAAGTATTTACATTACAATTGGACGAACTTTGACATTTGAACCGACCCAGGATGCTTTCAGGAGCAAGGTGTCAGAAGTTTCTCCTCTGCCTTTGTGAGGCCTTTCTCCCCACCCCCACTCCCATCCCCTGGGGCAGCTCCCCTCTACTTAGTCTCTGCAGGTGAAATTGCATTTTCTGAATTCTATGGAAGTGGATTCATAGTACACACTCTTTTTTTTTTTCTTCTGGTGTTTGTATATATATATGCACACAATTTTTTTAATTTACTCAGCGTAATTGCTTTGAGACTGACCTGGGTTGTAGGTCTTTGGTATTGCTTTATGATATTCCTCTGTGGATGTCAACACACTGTTTTGATTCAGTTAGAGCCTACATCAGGTGCGAGGATCGAGAAGAATAGGCAGCCCAGCAGATGGTGTCTGTCCAGCAGATATTGGGTGGTTCACCTGGGCGCCTTGAAGCAGTTTCTTTCTAACTCAGTTTCATGTGGGGCTGTTGGGGGCAGCTCCCTGTGTCTCTTCAGACCTCTCTGCCTGGTGAGAGGGGGAGTAAGTTTTGCAGGCCTCTTGGATTATTAGCACCTGCAAAGTCAGGAAATTGTGTCTTTGAGGACAGCTTTCCCAGAGTGCAGAGTGCGGCCTTCCTGTGTCTAGGATCTTCACTGCGGCCTCAGTGCTTGCAGATTTGCTTTCAGGTTGTGGTTGAGAGGCTGACCCAGAGGCCATGACCTTCAGTTGCATCCCACCTGTGTGGTTCCTGTCTCCCCTTGGCCTCAAGGAAAGTGGGCCGTCCTGCTGCCATTTTTCCTGAGAGTTGTTTGGATTGCTAATTGTGGCCTGTAGCCCTCCTGTGTTGCCTCTTAAATCACATAAATGTTGAAAATGGAAATCCAGAGTGAATGTCTGCACACACAACCTCATGCGGGAGGCAGCCGCACCCTGGCAGTTAGGGTGTTGGGCTTTGGGGCTTCTGGGCTGCCAGCAGGCACTAACCGTGCTTCCTTCTGCTCTCCAGTGAGCATTTTGGGGGCTGGGCAAACCATGAGTTCCACCTGTATTTACTGATACCCACAGGTGTTTATCCCTAGTGTTAATGCTTGAATTTCTGTGTACTGCTTTTTTAAATAATAAGAGCAAAATGAAACAGTTCTTGCACAGCTCTGTTGGTCTTTGGATAAGATGCTGCTGTTCATTTTTGACTGACAGAACACACCAAGATGGACCAGCTTGGAGTGTTCACCAACAACGCCAAGTCCACCTCTAGCGTGGGGTGGTGTTCTTGGCATTTGTGTGATGTCAGCATTGCTCAGCATGCAGAGGGCAGGGCTGTGTGGCATGCATCCTGGGAAAGCCAGCTGCTTTCGGCAATCTGTGGCCTAGGGGGCCCCCACCCTACTCAGTCACCCAGACACAAAAATCCCTCTCAGTTCCCGGCATTCTGCAGTGGAGAAAGACCCTCATTCTTTTTTCTTTTTCTTTTTTTTTTTTAATATTTATTTTTTAGCTATAGGTGGACACAATATCTTTATTTTATTTTATTTTTATGTGGTGCTGAGGATCGAACCTGGCGCCTCACGCATGGTAGGCGAGCGCTCTACCTCTGAGCCACAACCCCAGCCCAAGACCCTCATTCTTAAGGTTGACTGAGACTTTGTTTTCTTACCAGGTTTCCTTGACGTGGCAACAGGTGATTTCTGCAGGATGGGGGTGATGGTGGATGGTTCTGATCCTGTGCACACAGATCCCTGTTACCTGGTCACCTCTGCCCTCCATGAGTTCGCAGTGTCTTGCCTGGAAGGCAGGTGGCTGCAAGAGCCCAGGCTGCTGCAGGCCAGGCCAGGCCAGCCAAGGGATGCTGCTGTGGTCACCAGCAGCCCCGAGAGGCAGACAGACTCCCTTATCTCAGGAACTTGGCTCATTTGCCTCTCAGGGAACTCTTCATCTGCATTTCCAAGAGGTCATCTCTTGTTGGGCCTCAGAAGAGTCTAGAAGGCTGTAGACCGGTGTCTGCCATGTAGTTCATGGGGTTTCATGTCCCTGCAGATGGCAGTGCAAGGCTGCTGCTTTTGACCACAGAACATGTTTTCTGAAATGCTCTGCAGCTTTCCTGATCAAAGAAGGTCTGGGTGCTGGAAGGCTCATGGCTTCTCTGGGCTCAGGGAACACCTGGAAGGGTGACCACACTTGGGAGTAGCACTGACAAGACAGATATGTGTGACCAGTGGGCTGACTGAAGGCTTCCTTGTGGGGAGTAGGCTTTGCCTGCTGGCCCCACCCCAGCCCAGCAAGGTGGGGTCTCCTGCTAGGACCTGTCCCCTGAGGACTGTGGTGTGCTAGCTGGGGTTTGGCTATGGGCCTTTTTTCCTATGGCTGATGGATAGCAGACTGTGCACTCTGACTCCTCTGTACTGGGGATGGTGAAGTCACACTCCCAGACAGGAGCACTGCTCGTCTCTCCTGTCTGAGGCCCTTCACTACTGCTTGAGGATCTTGTATTATTTGGATTGGTTTTGAACACAGCTTTATCCCAGGGGACTTGGGCTGAGAGGCAGTGTGCTGACTCGTCCTGTTGTTTTCTGATGATAAGACACTGATGGCAGGGAAGTGAGATGTCCCAGCATCACCTGGCCAAGTGGCCACAAGAAGCTGACTCTAACCTTGTGCACTTCTCCTGTGGCAGGGGCTCAGGCTATCTGTGTCCCTCCACACCATCCAGTGTACAGACCCCCTTACCCTCTCTGTTACCAGCATCATTCTGGCCACTCTGTCCTCTGTCCCCTGTCCCTGTACAGTGAAGAAACCAGCTCTTCCCAACTTCCTGCACTGTGAGAGGGCATGTGCTCACAGCAGGTTGGGGACACCCACACCATGTGACACATGGGCGGTGGGATGCCACCAAGCAGGCTTTCAAGGACCCTGGCCCGTGACTGGATCTGAGTGGGGGCAGATGTTGGTGCAATCACAGTTGTTATTTTCCCCGATAGGACCCTGTCCTGGAGCCCCACTGTCCCTCAGCTTTCAGATGAGTGGCATCTGTCTGCCCTACTTTGTGGAGCCCCTGCACAGGCAGGCCTGCACTAGAAGATGGAGTCAGGCCCTGCCTCCACCCTCACTGGCTCCCTCTGCCAAAACTCCTAGCTGCTTGAAGGAGGGGCTGCTTTTTGCCTCCTGCCAGGGGGCCTGCTGTGCCCTTCTACTGGCAGCCTGTGCTGTTGGAGAAGAAGCAGCTGGGCCAGGGCACAGCTCCCTCTGGGGAGGGCCTGCCTGGTTTCCCTTCTCCATGGATGATTGGGCAAACCTCAGCATGAACGTCCACAGCCCACCAGTGAGCATGCATCTGTAGGGTTCACATCCTGGGCTCCCTGCTCACACTTTCCTTCTCTTTGCAGATACATGTCCCAGAGCAAACACGCAGAGGCCCGAGAGCTCATGTACTCAGGAGCACTGCTCTTCTTCAGTCACGGCCAGGTAAGGGGTTTCGCCCCTTCCTGTGTGCTCTGCTCCTCGTGGGAGAGTTGAGGGGGGAATGGCCAAAAAAAGGCCTCGGGGTGGCATCAGGACATCCTTGGCTCTGGCTGCAAGTGGAAGAGGGTCCTCTGCCCCTGACTGCAGATGCTTTACACTCGGGCCTGTTACTATGGGCCATTCGTGGCTGGGTGCAAACCTCTGGATTTGTGGGTGTTGGGGTGCTACGCTGTACATGTAATTTTTAAAAAAAAATTTAGTAGTAGATGGACACAATATTTTTATTTTATTTATTTATGTATTTATTCTTTATGTGGTGCTGAGGATTGAACCCAGTGCTTTCATGTGTGCTAGGCAAGCAGTCTACCGCTGAGCTACAACCCTAGCCCTGCACATGTGATTTTGATCTAAACAGCTCTCTCCATTTTTTTATGTGCTTCTGGGCTGAGAGCTCTATGACTGGGCTGCATGGCTGAGTGGTCTGTTCCTGTTGGTGCTGGTGTGTTCACGACTGTAGTGCATTCATGTCTGTAGGAGGAGCACCACCAACCAACCAGCCTTGTCTGTACTGCTCTGAATGACTCAGGTCTGTTTCTAACTTTGTGAGTCTTGTTCATTTGTTTTGTAGCAAAACAGTGCTGCAGACTTATCTATGTTAGTCTTGGAGTCCCTGGAGAAGGCAGAAGTGGAAGTGGCTGATGAACTGCTGGGTGAGGACCCCTCTTGCAGGCTGCCCCGTTGTTCTGATGTAGCCCCTCCCTAGGCACTTCATCCCCTTCAGTGCCCACTTGTGGGTCTCTGGTGTTCTGGGGCTTATCTTGTTGTGGAGGTATTTCCTGCCCAGTTGCAGTGGCCATGCCCACCCATCTGGCCTGCTCCACATGCATGGGCACATAGCAGGATGGGTAGAGCATGATGAGGTCCTGACCCTGCTGTGGCAGTCAGAGAGGTGGGTACCCTGTGACCAGAGACTAGGCTTGTTGGTCTGCCCTATGGGTGAGCGTGCAGTTGGTAAAGCCCTTCTGGGACCTGATGGAAGATGAGAGAGACCCCACTGCCTCTCCTGCTCACATGGCTGGAGGAGGGGACACTGGACCCCTGTCTGCTGCAAAAGCCCCTCCCTAGCTTGTTTCAGGGCTAGCTCTTCACCACAGCCCACCCTTCCTAGCATGACCCAAGTAGATCATGAAGATGCAGCCCACCCTTCCTAGCATGACCCAGGTAGGTCACAAAGATGAAAGGTACTTGTCCTTCCTTGTGGCATTCTGGGGCATGCAGCATTAGCAGACAGGGGTCAGTTGGAGTGGCTCTGGGTAGCCCTAGAACCCACAGGACACACATGGGGGACATCCACCAACTCATCAGTGGCCTCTTTGCTTTCTTTCAGGGTTTTTTTTTTTTTTTTTTTTTTTAAGTTGTTGATGGACCTTTCTTCTATTCATTTGTGGTGCTGAGAATCAAACCCCATGCCTCACACATATGAGGCAAGCACTCTACCACTGACCACAACCCCTGCCTTTCTTTGCTTTCTTTTGAAGTTATAAATAAGTTATTTTTTTGGTACCAGGGATTAAACCCAGGGACATTAATCACTGAGCCACATCCCCAGCACCCCCCCTCCCTTTTTTTTTTAATCTTAAGACAGTCTCATTAAGTTGCTTAGTGCCTTGCTAAATTGCTAAGGCTGGCCTCAAACTTGAAATCCTCCTTCCTCAGCCTCTTGAGTTGCTGCCATTATAGGCATGAGCCTCTGCATCCAGCTGGAGTTAAATAGTTTTTTTAAATTTGTTTTTCCAAGATGCACAATACAAAGAACAGCATTATGTTCCTTCTGTTTTTTGAGGGTTTTGGTTTTTTTATTTTGTTTTATTTTTGTCCTGGGGATTAAACCCAGGAGCATTCTGCCACTGTGCCATACCCCCAGTCCTTTGTATTTTTTATTTTGAGACAGGGTCTGGCTAAATTGCCCATACTGTCCTCAAATTTGGAATCCTTCTGCCTCAGCCTCCCATATCACTGAATTACGGTTGTGGCCGCTGCCCAGTTCCCTCGTGTTCCTTGGGATGAGGATCTGTTTGTGTTGTTTTCAGAAAATCTGGCTAAAGTATTTAGTCTGATGGATCCAAATTCTCCGGAGCGAGTGGCTTTTGTGTCCAGAGCCCTGAAGTGGTCCAGTGGAGGGTCCGGGAAACTGGGCCATCCCCGGCTCCACCAGCTGCTGGCCCTCACGCTGTGGAAAGGTAGGCCTGGGGTCCTCCACCATCAAGGGGTAGGCAGCTCTGCAGCAAGGCTGGCCACTTGCCTCCCCTGGCTAGGCCAGTCGTTTCTACCCTGTACTGAGCTGCCCAGTGGAGCTGCACTGCTCCGGGCAGCAGCAGGACACCAGGCCTGCTCTGCCATCTTTTCACGCTCTAATCTCCAGCCCCTACAAACACTCAGATCCTTGCTTAGACCGCCTGTCCCTCCCACTCTTCCTCCTGCAGCAGCCCTCCATGGCCTCGTTCTTTGGTTCTTTTCTCAACAGTTCTTTTTCTGATGAAGTGTTTGTGGCATTATTTGGCCCGTAGGGTGGGATCTTGGGTGTTTTCTTTGGGGCGGTCAGTGTCTGTGCTCCAAGTCTCTGCTCAGGTACTGGAAGAAGCCCTCAGTAAAGGTTTTCTGTGATCTGAATGACAAATTTGCCAGGTTATGACAGGCTTCCTCCTCGGTGGTGTTCCTGGGGACAACTGGCATCTAGGGCCCTGGTGCTTTGGCTCTCTAGGCCTTGGCCTGTGACTGTCGACATATGGGAAGGCTATAATGGCCGGCAGTGGAGATGGCAGGGTACAGAGCAGCTCTTCTGAAGCCCTGGGGATTCAGGGCCTCTTGGGAACAGCTGCAGTCTAGTGAGTGGCACAATCATTGGATAGGGGGGTGTCAACCACCTGGGCTGCACTCTGCCCTTTCATCTACCAAGCAGACAAATCTGAGTGTTCACCATGGGCCAGGTCCTGTTGGCAAAGGGAATTGGCAGCCCCTGCCTGCCAGGCACTGGTAGCCCTGACTGGAGGAGGCACCAGTGTCCCCTGTGTGGCAGGGGGGAGCAGAGTCTAGAGATCTGCCTGAGAACAAGCCAGTGTTGGTGACTTCCTCTGGTGGTGGGGTGAGGTGCTTGTCCTTAGGTCATGGTGGCTCTGCAGTATACTCAGCACTTGATGGGAACAGGACCAGCTCAGTGGGGCTGCTGTCCCCACAGTAAGCAGCGTCACTATGTTAACAAGAATTGACTTCAGTGCTTGGGCTTCGGTATGCAGTAATCTTCTCATGTGGATGTCCAAATCCAAAAGGTCACCTTGGAAGATTGATTGGGGGTCCAACAAGAGACAAGTGGAAACCTGACTCCTCCTGATTCTGACTGCCATGAAGGCAGCTTGGGGGGACAGGGATCCAGAGTCAGTCCCTTTGAGGTGGGTGGGAGAGTGGCTCTTAGGATGGTACCAGGTCAGAGGTGGGAAGGGGGCTCTTATGAGTCGAGGTTAGTAAGCTCAGAGTGGAGTGGAAGGGAGTGTGAGCAGGTGTTAGAATTGGGTAACCCAACCGGTGTGGTGGGGCATGCCTGTAATCCCAGCAGCTTGGGAGGCTGATGCAGGAGGATCACAAATTCAAAGCCAGACTCAGCAATTTAGTGAGGCCCTAAGCAGTTTAGTGAGATCCTGTCTCAAACAAATAAAAAGGGCTGGGGATGTGGCTCAGTGGTTGAGCACTCTTGGGTTCAATCCCTGGTACAAAAAAAGAAAAAAGAATCAGGTGACCCACAGGGTCCTTTGTGGTATCAGGGATCTACTGGAGAGAAGGGCTTCAATGTGCTATTTTGGAAGGGCTCAACTTTTAGGGTTTTTTTTTTTTTAAGGTTCTTACAGGTTTTTTTAAGTTGCTAGTTTGGTTTTGTTTTGTACTGGGGATTGAACCCAGGGGGCACTTAACCACTGATCCATATCCCCAGACCTTTTTATTTATTTTGAGACAGGATCTCACTAAGTTGCTGAGGCTGGCCTCGAACTTGGGATCCTCCTGCCTCAGCCTCCTGAGTCACTGGAATTACAGGTGTGCACCACTGCGCCCGTCTTAAGGTGCTTGTTTATAAAAGAAAAGCAGTGCGTTGGCAATCTTCACAGTGCCTGCCCAGAAGCATCCGTCAATCAGGCACCTTCAAGTAATCAGATGGATCAAATATTAGTCATTTTTATTGTCCCACCTCATGTGCATTTATGTTGACTGGAGCAGCTTCACACAGCTTGGAGAAACGAGGTGTTGCTGGGGCAGCCTTCTGCTCTTCAGCTTTCTGCATTTGTTCTTTGAGCACAAGGAAGTTGGGGTGTTGGTGTGAGTAGCCCTGTTGTGGTCCCATGAGCCTTATCACTGGTTTTCACCTGGGTCGCTGTGCATTGGGGTGTGCACGTGGAGCACATTTGGGGAGCAGGGAAGGTGGAGCCTTCAGCAGTGTCTCTGTGACATGTCTGTCTCCCTTTTTTTCTTTCCGCTTTGCAGAACAAAACTACTGCGAGTCTCGGTATCACTTCCTGCACTCCACTGACGGCGAGGGCTGCGCTAACATGTTAGTGGAGTACTCCACCGCCCGGGGCTTCCGCAGTGAGGTGGACATGTTTGTGGCCCAGGCGGTGCTTCAGTAGGTATTCAGTATGGCTTTGTGGTGTCGGTACCCTGCTTCCAGAGGTGGCCTCAAGTGGGCCACAACATCCCCTGACTGTAACATGCCTAGAGGGAGTGTAGGGATTGCAGGAGCTGACCACCGAGCTCACTTGTCACCTGTGACCACTGTGTATAGGAGTTGTCGAGGTGTCATAAACTTGGAGAAGCAGGAGCACGCTTTCAGGGGCTGTCTTCACAGCTGTTTCCTTGAGTCTCGATCCCTTTAGCGTGTGGACAGGCTGCACCCTCCTCTGCCAGGAGGGCCTGTCATCTGCTCTGCCAGGCCTGCCTGTCCCATCGCTGATCTTGAAAGTACTGAAACTTGTACTAGAGCTGACAGAGCCTTCCAGCTGCTCACTGACACAGGACACGTCGGCCAGGAACTGTCCCTTCCAGACTCTCCCTGTGGTCCAGTTCAACTGCATCTCCGCACAGGTGGCTCAGAGGCCCACAGGTGCTTTAACGTCATCCACAGCTGCAGAGCCCTGCCATGCACTTGTCATTGTTGACATCTGTGACTTTAAAATGAGTTGTTTAGAATCTAAGATTCCCTGACCCAGCTTGGCCGGGCATGGCGCAGTGTCCTCTCGGGGCTGGGCTTGACCCTGGTTCACTGCCTCTGAGTTCTTTCTCCCTGACCTCTCGGGAGCTGCCTGAGGGATGTCCTTCTTGAGTGGAATCCAGGTGTGTCCAACACCCCACGAAGCATCAGACTGTGGGCCACTTGGGACCCAGGTGCCTGCACATGCTCTGATGCACAGGTGTAAAGAGGCCACGCTCCACGGGGTTCTGCAGATGTGGGCTCAGGTTCTGGCCCCATTTCTTAGCCTTTTGACCTTCAGCAGCCGAGTCTCCTTCCCAGGCTTAATATGCTTCTCGCATAAGTGTAAAATCCCATGGCGTTGGTGTACTTGAGGGACAGCACCAGGATGCAATCCTGCCTGACCCCTTGGCCACAGCTGTGGTGCCCTCTAGATCCTGCCAAGCTGTACCCTTGCTGGTGTGGACCGAGGTAGCAGTGCAGGGGATGCACGCCCTCCTAAGCATCCATAGAAACCAGTCTTCCTGCAGTATTCCCACCCACCAGCATGTTCTCATTTCCAGGTTTCTCTGTTTGAAAAACAAGACTAGTGCACTGGTGGTCTTCACAACGTACACGCAGAAGCACCCGTCGATCGAGGATGGGCCGCCATTCGTCCAGCCCCTGCTCAATTTCATCTGGTTCCTGCTGTTGGCCCTGGAAGGGTGAGTCTGGCTGCCGTGTGCGCAGGTGGGGCCTGGGCAGTGCCGCACGTGCTGCTCACTGGGACACACATCTGGTTGTCTGGTTGTTGTTGTAGCGGCAAGCTGGCCGTGTTCACGGTGCTGTGTGAGCAGTATCAGCCGTCCCTCCGGAGGGACCCAATGTACAACGAGGTGAGGACTCTTCACTGTCAGGCTGAGGCAGCTGCCGAGAGGAGGGAGCCTTAGTGCGTGGGTGGCCCCTGGGGACCCCGAGGGCTGGGGTGGCTCTGCCAGGCCTGCAGGCTCAGTGACCCACTACTGCTCTGCCTCTTGCAGTACCTCGACAGGATAGGCCAACTCTTCTTTGGCGTGCCGCCCAAGCAGACGTCCTCCTACGGAGGCTTGCTAGGTAAGCTCTGCTGGCCTGCAGTGGGCTCCTTGCCGGCCCCCTGCTGGCCCGCTTCTGAGTCCTTGGCATAATTCCACAATTGAGCTGTGAATGGCCATCTGCAGGGCACCCTCTCCAAGGGCTGCAGTGGAGGCCACCTCCTGACTTGCCACTGAAAGTCAGGCAGTCTGCACCCAGGCAGGCTGGACTTGTGAGTGCGCCTGTGGGGCGAGGCCGTGCAGTGCTCTGTCAGAGCGTGGCTTATAATCCTGATACTTTAAGTGTTTTAATTTTACTTGAAGAGTGAATCACATTTCACAGGGTTCAGAAGTACAGAGCGCCCCTGTCCCTCTGGCTCCGTGCTTGGTCTCCTGCCGGCAGGCAGCCCGGCCATTTCATTCCCGGCAGAGGCAGCTGTGCAGGTGCCGGGACACACACCTGCTGCCACTCACCTCGCAGGTGGCTGCAGGCCGCACCTCACATGTTCTACTTGCCAAAGCGCGCACCACATGATGGTTAGGCCCCATGTGCACACAGCTGTGTCGGGCAGCATTCCTATGTGACTATGTGACCGTCATGCCACATGAGCTGGCCAGCACACATGTGGCTCAGATGGAGACTGCCTAACTGCTCCAGGGCCAGGGCTTCTCCGGAGACGCCACTTCACGTTCGTTCTCCCTCCATGACGGGCGCGCTTTTCTCCTTCCCCTTGGCTCTCGTCTGTCTGGAGTGGAGTTCTGCCTTTCCCTCTGGCCTTCAGCTGTGTGTGTTGACCATGGCGCGTGGGAGGCAGGGCCCTGCTGTCCGTGCTGGGCCCCTGTGGCTTGGCACCACGTTGCCCATCGTGGCCTGGGCCAGGAGGTAGCATGTCACATGCACGTGTCTCAGCTTGGGAGCACAGTGTGGTTCCCTGTCCCTCAGGCTGTTTCTGCTGCACTCCTGGCTCCACACTGTCCCCAGCCGCACAGTCAGTGTGTGGTCCTGCCAAGGCCGAGCTGGAGGTGTGAGGAGCCTGCCTTAGGCTGTGGTTCACTGAGGACTGCGGAACCTCTGGCTTGCACTTTGACCCTCATGGGGTTGAGGGGACTTCTCAGACTGAGTTTGCAGTTAGATATGGCACCTGTTGGTAGTGATGGCATGTGCAGGTGACCAAGAGTAGCCTTTGAGGCTCTGCTTTGTTTCTGGGGTGCAGTGTGTGGCCACTGCACAGCTTTCTCCTGGCTAAACAGTCTGCCCGTGACGTCGCTGGCGGACTGCTGTCCCCCGTTGGTGGATGCTTCGGGTTTCCCATCACAGTTCACACGCAAGCCTGAGCACTGTCACTGCACATCAGCACTGTGTCCTTGGGGAACCTTCATGGGGTTCCTGGGCACAGGCTCACCAGGCTCTGCTTGTCCCCCACGGCATGCTGGAGGCCTGGCACAGCCAAAGGCTTCTGGGGGCAGGGCCAGCAGCTGCGTGAACCCGTGCCACTGTTGCCACACTGTCTCTCCTTCCAGGGAACTTGCTGAGCAGCCTCATGGGCTCCTCGGAGCAGGAGGAGGGGGAGGAAAGCCAGGATGACAGCAGCCCCATCGAGCTGGACTGAGCTGCCGGCCTACATGGAGACGCCCACGGTCGGCACCACTGGACAGTTTCAGGAGCCAGGCCCAGAACGTGGCTTCTCACACCCAGCAGGCTCTTGGTCTGTAGTTGGCAGGGCTGCCTGTGTGGCGTCTGTCCCTATTTATGTAAGGTGGCTGAGGGCTGCACAGTCCGCCTGATGCTGCGTGACCAGGACTTGAGACTGAGGCCCAGGCTTCTGCGGGCGGCCGTGTCCCTTCAGCTCAATCACAATAAAGCGCAGGCCTTGCTGCGGCGTCCCTCTGCCATCCTTGTCTGTGGTTCCTTGGGGAGGGCTGCGGGATGACAGGCAGCCTATCGTCAGTGACTAGACCGATTGCGCCCAGCATCCCCGCTCCGGGCCCCCAGCACAGCTTGTGGCATGCAGAGGAGGCAGTGGCCACCAAGACGGGGACTGAGCCAGCCTCCTGAGGTCCTGTAAATGTGCGCGGGTTTCTCGTTTATCTTTTATTGTTTTGAACACGGGGTCGTTTTGCAATCATGGTGTACTTGCCCCTCACAGATGGGACGGGTGAGCTGTGGGCTCCTTGCAGCTTGGGCAGCAGCTGGCCAGACCAATGCTTGCATGGTCCTTGGCCGTGGCTGTGGCCCCGGTGGTGCCCTGACATGGCCAGCAAAGCTCCTCTGTGCAAGTCCCGAGCCACAGCCCTGCTGCTCTCGCAGGCACCGCGCTGCCTCTCCAGAAACGCCCTTTTAAAGAGGGGCGCTGAGAACTTTCCACGTCCTTCGTGACGCAGTATTTATTTTTATTGGGTGATGGATTTCTTTGACCTAACGTTTCAGGTTTTAACCAAATAAGCAGTCCAGGAATGAGCAAATCTATCCTTTATCACTTATGATATTTCACATGTTACCAGTATAATTATAAAGGGAAACACTTTATTTTTTCACGATTAAGAGTTGTAGATTAATACACAGCGATCCTGCATGGGAAGAAGGGAGATGTACGTTATTTACTGTAAAAAATGGAATTTAAAGGAAGGCTTGTCAATTGTTGAGTATAAATAAATCCTTTATACTGGGCTTTGCAGCGCTGGTCCTTTCTGAATGAGCTCATGGGGCTTGCTGTGGGGTCTCGGCGTCCAGCCCCCCACCTGCTGGTGTAGGGCCTTGGGTGGGTCCACTGTGGCCCTTTGCTGCTCCTGGCCCTCCCCTGCCTTGGGTTGTCCAGAGCCTTTGTGGCTCTTGGTGTGTGAGCCCCCCCCCCCCCGGGGGGGGGGGGATGGTGGCATGTGCCGTCCGAGCGCCTGCCTGGGTTAGTCCAGGGCCTGTGTGCAGAAGTAGCCAGTATCAGGAAAGTGTCAGAATCCACAGGCTCCAACTGTAGATGTAAACGTGTGGTTTTATGAAGTCACACGCACCAGGTGTGGGCCCCACAGCTTCAGTGAGCAGGCCGGCCCCTTGGTGGCAGGGAAGTGGACTGTGCTGTTCCACTGGAGCCCATTGCTACAGGTACCAGGAGGGAAACACCAGGGGTTGTCAGTGGGGGCAATCCTGAGGGAGTCACAGAGGTCGGGAAGGAGTCACAAGATTGGCATGTGATTGACGATTTGGAAACAGTTTGAGCACAATTCAGATTTTGTTTTAGGTGAATGCGGAGAATGCCCGAGGTGTGCACCTGTACACACCTTTGCTATGCCACCCACCTCCCGTGGGCCTCCTTCACAGACCTCGGGACCGACCAAAGTAGTGTACTGTGCTTACTGTGGCATTTGCTGTATGCCCGTGACACTCTGGCCGGGGATATGGCACCATTTCTACAGCCCTTGGTTAGACTTAGCTGTGCTGGGCAGGGCACCCAGTGCCCAGGCAGCTGTGTCCCCACCAAGGGACAGCCTGTGGAGCCAGTGACTGTCCTTCCATTGCTGTAGATTTCCTACCGTGTTTGGAAAACTTTCCTCACCAACTGTAAAGTTGTTCTGTGATTTCTCATAAAAACATGCAGGTTTTCTTGGTAGAACACACGCCACACGTGCACACAGCACAGACACCCACAGGCGCACACTCATGAGCTTCCGTGAACCTGGACACACGGCAGACACAGCATGTGCACGTGCCCATAGTGGAAGAAGGTCCAGATCCCCCAGGAGGGCTGGCCAGGGCTGGCCCTACAGTGGTGCGACCCAGGACCAGTGCTGTGGTCTCAGGGCCCAGTCTCCAACTCTGGGAACTCAGGTGTCTGTAGAAGCTGCAGCTCCACAGGGCAGTGAGCAGTGACTCTTGTGGTGGGATGAGGGAGGGAGGGGACTCCAGGCAGAGTGGCTCCTGCCTCCCCAAGGCCTCAGTTTCCTCATTTACAAGTGGGGGGGGGGTGGGGGGGGCCCAGGCTGGGTGCAGGGTGGCCCAGGCCAGGGTAGACCTTACCAGAGGTACCCGCAGACAAGTTGGAGGGGGGCTGGGCCCTGGAGGACCTGCTGGGAAGGGGCACCTCGGGGCCTCCGCTGCAGGCCCAGACCTAGCCTGGGGCAGCTGTGGGAGCAGAGGTGTTCAGGAAGGGGCCCCTGGGAAGACACAGAGACTGGGCCTTAGTGAGCCCAGGGTAGGCCACCAGCCTTTTCTGGATGTGCCAGCCCAGACCATCTGAACCTGGCCTGGGGGCTGGGGTCAAACAGGCTGACGCCCACGGGCCTGTTACAGGGAGTCGTCCATCTGCGCCAATGGAGGGCAGGTGTTCCCAGCTCAGCCCCGTCTCATCCCAGCCTTCAACACATAGATGGGACCACACCAGAGCCACACTTTATTCCAGGATGTGACACAGGGCAGCAGGGTGCCCGGCCTTAGGAACCCTCCCCCATCTCCTCCGGGGCATGACTCTGCTAGAAAGGGCTGGAGTCACCCAGGTCACCCCTGGATGCATCTACCACCAAAGAGCTCCACCAAGCCCGTCCAGCTGGCCAGGACCTGCCCTGCAGGGGTCCCATGGAAAGGGAGCCCAGCTGTCCTGGATGGCCAGAGTGCAGCACGGAAGGAGACGAGGTGAGAAATAAATATGAGGTGGCTTTAACTGCTGGCCAGCCAGCAGCAAGCAGGGTCCCAGGGGCAGAGGGGTACAGGGTCACCCCTGCCTCTGGGGGCCTCTTGGTGGCGCCAGCCATCGTCCTCAAAGGTCAGGGCCGGTGGGCATGGATCACTGGTCAAGGCTGAGCACCAAGCTGGGCACAGATGCCCATGAGCAGATGGTGTGGCTAGGTCCCCTCATGGCACCTGGCAGCCCCTGGTGAACCCCTCCGTCCTCCTGCCCGAAGCCAGGGCCCCAACTGGCAGGGCCAGGATCCGCACGCACCATTCTCCTGGGAAACTGCCCCTGAGGACAAGGGCCACATGTCCTCTGCTGGCCCCAGACCCATGGCTGACACACAGCAGATACCCAATAAATACTTGTCACAACGGGGGAAGGGAGGGGGGGGCATGCGGCAGGTCCGAGAGGCCCCAGTGACCCAGCCAGCCCACTGCTACCACTGCTGCCCACAGCCACCCAGCACACAGGGTCCACTTCAGAGGCCCAGAAGTCCCTTCAGGTTGGGCAGGTATCCAGGAGTTCATGGGGGCTGCTCCTGAGCTGGGAGACCCTGCAGGGCCATCAGGAGAGGCGTCCAGGGGCAGGGAGAGGAGCAGGTCAGCCGGTGTGGTCAGCAGCAGCAGCAGCATGGCTGGGCTGGGACAGGCAGATGGGCCTTTGATGAGGTTCAAGTGCCTCCTAGTGGTTAAAGCTCAGGCTCCACCCAGCTGAGCCCAGGGCTGCCCCGGAGAAGGCCTCCCCGTCCAGCTGCGTCCTTGGCCAACACATCCCGAGTCCAGTGTCCTCAGGCCTCTGGATGGACCGTCTCTCGCTAGGGTTTATGCTTGAAGTGGGCTTCCACTGGAGATGGGACAGACAGCCTGGTCAAGCTGGTCAGCTCAGCCCAAGCCTTCCCCGCACGACCCACCTGGGGGGTTCCGTCCGGCCAGAGGCCATCCCACAGTGTGGACACAGGGCCTGGGGCCTCACCTCAGTGGCCAGCCCTCACCTGCGTACTCCTGGGGTAGCATGGGCCTGTCCACCACCTTCTGGAAGGCCTCCACCCACTCCCTCCGGTCCAACTCCGTCTCGCAGGTGAACAAGAACTTGCGGTCAGGTGTGACAATGGTGATGCCATGTGGCCAGTGGTGGCCCTGGGTGGACGGTGGGAGTCCCTCCAGCACTGTGTAGCCACTCTCCTTGCTGCCAATGAAGACCTCTCCTCGGGCAAAGGCGTCCTACAGCAGGGACCAAGCTGGAGCTGGCCACCCTCCCTGCCCCGAGCCCCACCATACCCAGAACTGGGCGAGGCTGAGGCCAGGACTCTGGGAGCCACCCCCATCAACACCCCACGGTGGCTGCCAGCTGGACCCTCCTTACCAGGGGATCCTTGAAGTACATGAGCCTCCGGTCATCCATGGTGAACCAGCGCTTCCGGAAGCCCTCTGTTTGCTGTCAGTCAGGGAGGACTGGTGACCAGCTGGCCAGCCCCACCAGGCCCCTGCCCTGGCTGGCCACAGTTCACACTAGGGGGCTGGGGCCATTCACTGTCCACTCATACATGTGTACAGCTGGGCCCTGCTCTGCCCACCGACCAGAGGCATGAAGTCCTCACCATTGCTCCTCTTTCCCTGGACCCCTACCTACATGTCCCCACTGAGCATTCGTCCCACCTCAGGGGCCACCAGAGTCCTCCATCCCCAGGCAGCAGGAAATGGCATGAAGGGGCCTGGGGCCAGAAGGCTGAGGTTGACCCAGAGCTCCAGCACCCAAAGCCCAGGGTGGTCCTGGGTTGGCTGGAACTCCCACCCAGCAAAGGGGCCAAGAGGACCGACCTGTGCCTAATAGCACTCGGGAGGCACCTGGCAGGTCCTGCCTCACTGTGCCCTGTGCCGGGTCCCTGCCCACCCAGGCAACAGGGAGAAGCAGCTGACCTTGGAGTGTGCCCGGCAACACCCCACCCGCCTGCAGACCCACCTTGGGCCCCGTCTTCTCCATGTAGCCTTCCTTCAGGTAGTTTCTGGAGAGCTTCGGCACCAGCTGGGGCAGAAACGGGTGGGTCAGGCACCCAGGCTGGCCCCACAGAAGCCTGGCCCAGCCTCCAGGCCAGGGACCCCACCACACACCTGGGGTGAGGTCGCCCCTGCTCCCCTGTCTCTCCTTCCTCTCCTCCTCCCCTACACCTTAGATCCACTCTGAGCTAAAATTCCCCAGGGAGCTGTGGTCACTTTGGGGCTGGCCTTAAACCAGTCTGCAGGAGGACCTTTCTGGGGGCCCGTGCAAGCCTTTGGTCAGTCCTGTGACCCACCCTGGGGCCCAAAGCCATCCCAGACTAGGGGGCATGAGGGCTGAGATGTCCACCGCTAGGTGTCCCCCAACCCTGGGAGATGACCATGGGACAGCCACTCACGTCTGCATCACTGGCCCCTGGAAAGGCCACCTGCAGGTAGTGGAAGCGGGCAGCCCGCAGTGCGTTGAACCAGTCCACGATCTCCTAGGGGCCAAAGGCTGTGTGAGTGTAGCCCAGGGGCCTCCCAAGGCCACCAGACGCACCCTGCCCTCTTCTGGGGCTGATGCAGGCTCCTGGCAGCCTCACTGGGGGATGGGCTGTGTCCCCACTTGGGCCACCATCCCCCCACGGGTCTCGTTCCCACGAGTCTCATGCCTACCTGTCTGCTGCTCCCCAGGTGCAGGGCTCCCACCCCAACACCCCACCACTCCTCTCCCAGACCCTCCACCTTCTGCATCCTTCCGTCCTGCAAGGCCACCACCAAGCCAGTGTGGGACCCCCCCTCCTGCACTACCTCAGCCCCGCCCCTAAGGCTCTGCCCCCACCTGCCCCACCTCAACCCTCAGGCGCTGCCCATCACCCAACCCCCTCCGTGGAACCCACGCTGGAGACCCACTTGATGGGCCACATACTGCCCGTGACCCTCACCCCAAGGTTGCAATGGCTCACACTGACCCTGACATCAGATCAGTCCTGCCCATTCCCAAATCCTGGCCACCTCAGTTCTCAAGGCAC